TCCTTCCCCCCTGATCAGAAGGGCAAGAGTTTACACCAGCTTCGCCATGGGGCAAAGGACTCCACAAGGGCTGGGGTGATATGGGATTGGGCCTGGCTTGCATTGCCGTTTCCAGCCCGCATCCTGACTAGTGCTCTGTGCACCGCTGCTAAAGTGAAGTGGCTGGAGAAGTAACCAGTCCTCCCCCACCCTGTTGGAAGAAGGCAGCTGCGTGAGCTGATTAGCTGCTGGGTTCTCCGGTGCTGTCAGGATGAATTAGGAAGGGTGCTTAGGGCCTGATCCTGAACCCACAGGTACCAGAGGCTGTCTCCTTGCTGAGATCTCTGAGCTTTGGATCAGGCTGGCCTCCTCCGGGGCCCTAAGACTCCTCCCCGCCAGGTGACAACAACCTGCAAGTAATCCAGGGTCAGCAAGAGCTTCCCAGCTGTCACTGTTGCTGTGCGTGGCCGGGAGCAGAGGAAACAGAGTCCTGGTCTGAGAGCATGGGAGAATCGCCAGTGGCTGGTCACTGTGTAGGGGCCATGACACACACGTCAGCAACCCATTGGATAATGTTGCCTACACACTCCAGCCTGGCTCTGCTGAGGCTCTACTCACAAATTCCCATTCTCCTTCCAACCCTGCATCCCTCAAGTCCTTTTCGGGGCTAGGAAACCTGATCAGGAGCTTCTGTTTCCCCTGGACTCCTCCGCAACCCCCATATCTCAGATTGCTGCTGTATGGGTGAAGGGGGCTTTCTGGCAGATTTGCCACAAATTAGCCTCGCAGCCTACCCTAGTACCACTCTGATCCCTTCCCCCCATCCAGTGTGCTCCGTGCCCTGTGCCCCCTGCCCAATCTGCTGCTCTGCATTTTGCTCCGTGCTCTGTGCTCCCTGCCTGCTCTGCTGCTTTGCTTTCCGCTGCTCTGCTTTCTGCTCCCTGCCCGCTCTAATGCTCTGCTTTCTGCCCCTGCCCAATCTGCTGCTCTACTTGCTACTCCCTGCCCTGTGACCTCTGCCCAATCCGCTGCTTGGCTTTCTGTCCCCTGCCCTATCTGCCGTGTGCCGTGCAGGCCAGTCCTGCGCTCCCCGGACAACAATGCCTCTCCCTGGGCCTGTCCGCTAGACTAGGGCTAGACGGATGCAGTTCAAGCTGGCTGTGACCTCTCCCCTCCACGCTGCGTTCCTCAGAGCTGCTGCGCCGCCCCCAAGGCTGCCATCTCGGCGCCTCGTGCTGGGAGCTGTACGTGCTCATGGTCAATGGCAGTCCTTGTCCCGAAGTGCCTGCAGCTGACAAGCCCTAGCAGGTGGTTGAAAAAAACAAGTTTCTGTAGGGGGGGAGGGAACAAAAGGAACAACATTTTAGCCCAGCCTGGCTGGGCGTCTCTGCTCCAAGTCCCTCGGTGCCGGTCATTGCAGCTGGCTGCTATTGGGGGGCTGGGATTCTCAGCAGCAGTGGCGAGGAGACGGCTGTTCCCCTCACTGAGATGCCATGGTGGTAGCAAACTCTGTTTTTGCCGTGGGTTTGGTGGTCCCCAGTAAACAAGAGCTGAGGCTTCTGCCGGGGCTGGTAGGCTGCAGAGAGGAAGTGAGCTAGCAGCAAGGGCACTGGGGGAGGCCTGTTTATGCAGGGAGGTTTAATTCAGATTCAGGTGGGGGCATGCATTTAAAGAGGCTGTCCCTGGTGAATTCCCTGCGGGGATGAGCTTATTCCTGAACGAGAGCTTTTGCACAGGGGGATTCGTTAGGAATCATTATTTCTTGTTAAATTCGTGCTCCACCTTAATCCGGATGGATTGCCCTTAATTCGGATGTAAGAATTGAAAGAGCAGCTCTTCATCTCCCCCAGTGGATGCCCTTATTAGAGCATCTAGACAGGGGGCTGAATGAGGACTAGGTCTTCTGGAGTAACTCTTCATGTAGACAAGCTGTGAGCTACTTGTTTTATAGAGCAAGTCCTCACATGCGAGATCCCAGTTGGCCTGGACTTGGTCTGGTTTTATACTTGTGGTGTGGAAGATGGCAACCCCTACCCTGTCCTGCTGCTGGCTTGGAAGGAGCCTGCTTCATAAACTTATAGAGAATGAGGGTGGGAAGGGGCCTCAGGAGGTCACATCTAGCCCAATCCCCTGCTCAAAACAGGACCAGCCCCAACTAGATCATCCCAGCCAAGGCTTTGTGGAGCCGGGGCTTAAACACCTCCAAGGATGGAGAGTCCACAACCTCTTTGGGTAATCTGCTCCAGTGCTTTACTACCTTCCTAGTGAGAGAGTTTTTCCTAATATCTAACCTCAACTTCCCTTGCTGCAACTTTCCGAGGAGGTGCCTGAAGTGCAGCGATGCACTTGTGAAGTTGCCCGTCTGCTGAGAGCCCCCTGGATGGGCTGTGAAGACGGCTCATAGATGGGGCAGGACAGGGTGTGCGGGGGTGGGGGTGGGGAGGAGACCGCAGTTAAGGCTCGGCAGAGCCGAGCAAACCCTGTGCAGTGACCTGAACCACACGTTCACACATCCTCCACCCACAGCCTGCATCACAGCCCTTGGTCTCTGGCCCCCGTCCCCCCCATAGCACTGGGTGCTGGTGAGGTGTCTGCTACACCCAGCACAGGCATGCTCAGACCAATGACTTTTCAGCTGGGGCTCTGTAAGTGCCAGAGGACTTGTTTGCCAATGCCCTGTTGCTTCCACTAAGATCTGTGTGCCCGGCACAGTTGTTGGTCTTATGCCATAGCAGGCAGAGGTCACAGCTGACAGCAGCAGCCGGTTTAGTCAGGGGCTGTGTGAACACACGAGAAGAGACAGCCCCTGCCCCTAGGAGCTTGCAGTCTAAACAGGCGAGAGAGGGAGAGAAGGGTATTGCCAAGGTCAGGCGGCCTCAGAGCCATGGCTTCGGAGGGCAAGGCCAGGCATGGGATTTACCACCGGGTGGAAGGGGATGTGAGTTTACCGTGCCTCTGCATGCTACTGTGTGCATGGTGTTTCCCTGGTGGAAGGGGAATCTGACTGGCATGTGACCCAGCTTGAAGCACCCTTTTGTGCTCAGTCCGTTCAGTTGGGGCCACAAGTGAGATGAGTTTGAAGGTCTCAGACACTCCCCAGCGGGTGGTTTCTCCATCTCAGGCAGAGGTTCAGAGCAGTCCTGGTGCACCGGAAGGCCAGGCAAGGTGCGTGTCAAGGCTTGGCACTTGTGCATGCCCACCTGGAGCCAGTGGCTGGGGGGTCGGGGCACGGGGGGCTCAGTAGATCCAGAAGCAAAGTGCAGCGATTTAGCTCTGCGCTCGGGCAGTGGGTGGAACATTTGCTGATGAAACTGTTTTTTTCAACCCAGAAGCATGGGCTTTTTGATCTTCTTTTTTTGTTGTATGTGGGTCTGGTTTTGATCTACGTACCTACCTATATATAGATATATATATTTTTTTCCACCCAAAACCTACCTGTCCCAAACTCGGAACAGCCCACTTGCAGCATGGGATTTGCTCTTGTTTCCCCTTTGTCCTCCATAGAATCGGCTACTTACTTGATCTCTGTCTCCCTTGTGATCCTCCAAAGTATCCTAGGAAAGTAAGGCCAGAAGGGACCAGCCCCTGCTCAAGGCAGGATTGTGCCTGACTAAACCCTCCCAGCCCAGTGTGTCCAACCTGCTCTTGGACTTTTCCAGGGTAGATAATCCGCTGCCTCTGTTCCAATGCTTGGCTTCCCTCATTCTCAGTAAGTTTTTCTTCATCTTCAAACCCCAATTTCCCTTGTTTACAACTTGAGGCCGTTGCTTTTAGTCCAGAGAAAAGCCCGTATTCATCCTCTCCTCCTAATTGCTGCTGAAATCAAGGAGTCAGGCTCCTAAATCTCTTAGACACCTTGGATCTAAGCAACATGCTCCATGGTCTTGCAGGGAGTCTGCAGCAGAGGAACAGATTGGACCTGGTTTTCCCTGCCTTTCTTTTGCTGAGCTGCCTATTGCTCCCATTATCCATCACTCCCATCACTTCTCCTTGCTAACAGGGACATCCCGGGGTATCACAGGAACTGTAGTCTGAGGGGTCCAGCCTGGAAAACAGTTTGAGACAAACTCTGTTTGAGATGATAGAGTGGCATTTCACAAGCAAAATATACAAGCATTTGATTTTTTTGCTGGCGAATTGTCCTTTTCTAGGCACACAAGTCCATGTCAGCTGACATTACAGCTCATCCACCCACAGAAGAATGGTTTTGAAACTGGCAGGGCAAAATCTGGATTTCAAAGCTCCTGGGTTGTTGGCTTTGGAAATTAGATACTGCTTGATGTGTGCATGGAGTGACTTGGCTACACCGGTCATTGCTTTTGGAAGCCAGAGGGCTTGGAGTGAGGGATCACAAGCTGGTCATAGCTCTCAAGAGGTGTGAATCCAGATTGACTCCAGTGCTGCTGCTTCAAACCTCTGTAGGGCAGAGATTTCCCTACTTTACCCCCTGAGGTCAACTTGAGGCATCAGTTCGGGTCAGCTGTGTCTGGCAGGGCTCCAGATGTGGGTGAACAGCTGCACAGGGCTGCGTAGCTTGTTTTGCAGTCCTCACCTGTCTAAGTTTGTCATTTTTTTCCTAGCTTCTTCCCCAATCTTTCTGTTTCTTCTTGCTCTATATCTTTCGTGACTTTTTTCTTCCTTTATTTCTTCTTCCCTTGATCTCTCTTCCTTTATCTACATCTTTTTTGATTTGTGTCTTCTTTATTCCCCCTTGTAGTCTGTCCTCTTCCTTGATCCACTTTCCTGTCTCGTTCTGTGTCTTTCTTCCTTCCCTCCTGTCTGTTTGTCCTTCTTAATATGACCCAGTCTCACAAGGTCGTTCGTTCCCTTAGCACTGGCGACCCAGGAGCCCTCAGTACCCTGGTGAAAACAAATGTGTGGGTTATGCGCTAAAACCTGAATGGATATTTGAGAGGAAACTGCTTAGCTCTGGGGGTCAGGGCCTGGTCTGGATAGCCTTCCAGAGTAGGATAAACAGGTTATCTGCATTCTTGGATCTGATGGGCATTTCCCTTTTGCAGTGTGATTGATAGGACAGCGGCTGCAAGGTCCCCCTTTGGGAACCGGCTGAAGATGCAGGGACCCAACTGACAGGTAGGAGAAAAGCACTCCCTTTGATTCCAGCTCTGCTCTCATGCCTTCCCCTTCCTGAGATTCAGAGGTGTCAGAGATGCCTGACCCCTAGGCATGATGGCTGGTGATGGCGGGGGTTGGGGTTGGGAACCGATCCCTGATGTTCCTGGGACAGAATCTCCCCCCAGCACCGTGCGGGAAAAGCCCAGAGAAGTGCTGGGGGCCGCTGTGCTCGCTCCCTTCCAATTATGGCAGCATCTTCCGTCCCGCTGGGCTGGGAGCAGGGAGGCCACCGTTTCCCCTCCCTATTTGGAAAGGGAGGCTGCACTGAGATCACATTCCCTGCGGTCAGGCTGGCCGGGGGAGTCGCAGCCTGACGTGCAGCTATTTGAGCTCGCAGGCCTGCCCACGCGGGCAGCTCTGCTGCCGGGTATGCGGGGCTGGGCCTACGTAGCTGCTGTTGCCAGTGACAGGCAGGCGGTAGACCTTGCAATAGTTGCCTTGATTTAAGTCAGCTTGGGAAATATGAGTTGAGGGGTGGGGTGGAAAGCGATGTCTATAATAGAGGGGGGACTCTGTGCAGGGCTGCTGTCAGCACAACCCTCTCCCCTGTGTGCCCTGAGATGGGCTTCACCTGCACCCTGAAGCAGGAGGATTTGGGGCCGTGGCACAGCTGAGGGTCAGATCGCAGACTGGGGAGCAGCAGCTCAGCTGCAGGGCAGTGCTTTTCTCTAGGATTCCTCCTCTTGGCTCACTGCTTGGGTGGCTTGAGCTATATGGAGGCAGAGGGATCCACCCTCGTGGCGGGCTGCAGCCACAGGGTGCTGGTGGTGAGTGGCTCATGCTCCTATAGCTCCTGTGATGGGAGGGGATGCAGTGAAATTACCACCCTCCCAGCCAGCCTGTGTCTACCCAGCAGTTGGTGCCATGCTCGCAGCTCAAAATGTTGCACTGACCAGCTCGGGCATGGCCAGCAAAGAGCACTTTGTGTGAACTGCTCACCTGGGCATGTGCCCACTGCCCTGCGTGGCTTTTGCAGTCTGAGTTCCCTGCCCTGCTAGCAACGCCCAAGCTAGGTAGCTCAGAGCCAGCTCAGCTACACCTCCGTGAGCTGCTTTCACAGCAGCAACATGCCTTGAATGAAGTGGGTACAAACACTGCAACGCGGACCTTAGTGGAGATGAGGATCTGCTGTGGCCTTATTAACCTTTTTGTCAGGTGTCTGGGATGGGTGACTCATTAGTTTGGCATCCACTGTGTGCTGTTGTGAGTGGGTGGACAAACTGGGGAGCAAAGAAGAAATCAGACCGTAAGGTTTATAACAAGAAGACGTATATATGCATGTGTTTGCAGGCATGTGAGTGTGTGTGTGGGCAGGATACCCATTTAGTGTTCTGTAGCCAGCTAAGGAGTCCTGTACCACCTGTCTTTGATCCTCTCCCCATGTCCAGATTGTGCTGGTGCCTGTCAACAAAACTGTCCATCTTCCTTGTCAAGAGACATTGCACCAAACCAAAGAACGAGACGAGAGTGGAGTTCACTTAGGACATTTTGTTGGGGAACGCAGGCAGGGCTGATTAGAGAAATGGCCAAATCCTTGGCAGGTCTCAGTTTGGCTGGAGTTGCCCTTAAGATGATGGAGAGAGGCTGCATGACTTTGGCCAGGCACCTGTTAGGACAGTGGCCTGTATGTCGCTTAGACTGAGGGCCCCTTAGGCCTGCCTCATAATGTAAAGAGGCCTGTAAATTAGAGCAGGTAAGTCTCAATATAGTTTAATCCTCTGTTGATGGCCGTGCACACTGTTGGAGGAGGGTAAAGGGAGCTCAGGGCTGTATACAATGCGCGACTGTGCTGACAAGCTTAAGGGAACACACAGTCCGCCCCTGCAGGTGTGGTTATACCAGCATGAAGAAGATGCTTTATCCCATTATAGCTGATGCCATATAGTACCTGGAATAACCGTCTATATAAAACCGGACCCAGTTTTTGTGTGCTCTTTGTGCCAGCTCTTTGTGTGAAGAAGTGCAATCTACTTCTGTAGATGCCTCTGGACTTAGGGATGTTCTCTGCAAACCCCAGGCTTTTCCAGCCTTTTTCTGTGGAGATGGTTTCACTGCATAGATACGGCATGTTGTTATCATGATGCTGAGAAAGCATGTTTAGGGCCTGTATATGGGCCTGTCTCTGCCTAGAGCTGTGCCTGGGAAAACTTTTATCAGTACGGGATATAATTTTTTACCTGAATTAATTATGCTGGTAGAATGCAATGATATCAGTACAACTATACTTTCACTGGGACAGCTTTTGTGGGAACCAGCTTAAATTATACCAGTAGACTTTATACTGGTATAACTCTGACCAGCCCAGAGGGTTTTACTAGTCTGGCCATGATGTTGGTAAAACCCTTGTAGTATGGACAAGACCTGTTTGAAGTGTGAAAAACCCCTCCTGTTCTATCTTGCTCTCCTTCCTTTCCCCGGAAATGAAGACTATTGATAGCAAGAAGAGAGGGGGAATGGAGGAACTATTTAAAAGAGGATATATATATATATTTTTTTTCTTCTCGAACTTCAATTGCTGTTTATGGCTGTTACAGTAAATGTTTGCATCTCCATTGTCTGTAATAAGGTTGTGGTAAAGACCGAACTGGGGAGCGGTTTTATGAGGGTTCTATGGTTTCATGTAATGTATATTCTGGGTTTGCTCCGAAAATCAATAGAAGGAAAGATTTTAAAAATCATCCGATCCCAGCCTCTTGAAAGGGGCTGGTTTTCTCTGCTGAGCAAGCAGCTTGGTCGGGGGTTCAGAGAAGGATGGAGATGGCCTCGTGCTCTCAGATCAGAGGGCAGGTAGCATGGCTGAGGTCACAGGCCAGGTGGATGGAGAGGTTGTTGAGGGCTCCTTGGTGAGGTCAGGGGTTGTAGGGCTTTGCTTGGAGCTCATCTGCACTGGTGTGAACCAGGCAGGTTTGTCTGGAGTGATGCCAGCATGAGAGGGCCCAGCTCATGTCAATAGAGGAGGGATGTGTTGGTATTCCCTTGGATCGGGACGTGTTTGCTGCAGAGCAGAGCCTTCAGCCGCAGCAGGAAACATAGCAAGAGGCCCTGAATAACTTAGTCTGAAGAGTGGGAGAGATGAAGGTGATGATCCTGCCTTTACAGAGGGGAGACGTGATGGGCTGCTTGGGGCATAAATTCTTCCACCCACTCTGAGGCCCCTTTCCTTTCCAGAGGCCACTTCTGTGCTGTCTCTGCTGCATGGTTTTGCTGTATGGGTCTAGCACCACCTCTGCGCTCAACATCTAGGTCCCCACTGCACTCCTGGCTGCTATGTCATGTCAGAGGTCCCCTCCCAGGCTTACTTCCCCTGGGTGGTGGGGAGGTGCTAGTGTGTGTGAGCTACCCAAGCTCCTGTAGCTGACGGCACACAATGGAGAGATGTAGTCAGCCCCACATCTGGCTACATTGGATACCACCATCCACATCTGGGCAGCAGACTTGGTGCTTCTGGATCTCTAGCATGATGCTGTGGTTAGCATTGGGGATGCTGGTATACTGGTGCCCCAGGCTGGATATGCACTCCTCCTCCAGGTATTGCCTTCTGTGCTGGGTCAGGGTGCAGCAGCCTTCAGCAGCTTCTTGCCCAGAGGACTGGCATAGAGCGGAGAACGTGCTTCCCAGGGCATCTCCGAGTCCTGCTGCCTCCTCTCCTCCCTGGAGAGAACCTCAGGCAGGCACTGAGCAATTAGCAGTGCCGTATTGATGCTGCCTCGGAAGTCCATGTCGACCGACACCGGGCAATGTAACCCACTGTGCTTGCGTCCCATGCCCACGATCAATAGGCATTTCATGTTCCCGAGTCTGACGTGCTCGGGGGTGCACCAGGAAAGCCCACCCCCACGTTCTGTCCCTGACCGCAGCGGATGGAGGAAGTCTTCCCAGGACAGCGACCTTGCCGTGAATTGATGTATCAGTGTCCTTTAGCTCCCTCTGTGCTTGGGGCAGCACGTGCTATCTTCCCTGTGCCTGCCTGAGGGTTTGCTTCTCTGAGGTTATACGGAACGAGCAGCCCCTGAAATCACTGAAGCAGCCGGGGACAGTCGGGCCTGGTGGGGTCATCGATCCCAGGCCTCCCCAGGCCCTACAGGAGTCAGAAACCAGATCAAAATCCATCTCTGGTTTCCCTTGAGACCGGTTTGGTTTGGCCCGGGTGGCTGCTGGCATGCTGCTTCTCCAGAAAGAACAAGTCCCCTTGCAATGGGCACGGCACAACTGAGGATACTTTTGTGCTTGTGGTTCTCAGTGGGGGTGTGCAGGGTTCACGCCCAGCCAGGTCAGAGACTCTTTATAGATCTCCTCCGGCATTTACCTTTTCTGCACCGCAGCTTTCTAGCTGTCAAAGCTGGCTGTCCTTCCTCTCTTGAGAAAGTGAACTCGTCGGAGCAGGGGCTGCCTGGTACTGTATGCATGTGCAGCACCCGCTGCGGTGGAAGACCTGAAAGCAATGGGTATCTCCATGAACCTCTTCTATGCAAACTCTAATGCCATACTGTCCACGGCTGCATGTTCAAAAAATCACAAGTCAGGCCTTCCAAAATCAGGAGGCTGCCTTGAAAAATCATGAGACTACTTCTTTTTTTTTTTTTTTTTTAATGATAATTTGGGATAACTTTCATGCATTTTGTGGAAAAGTCATTTCAAGGACAAACAGCTTTTCTCCAGGCATGCTGACTTCCACAGAAACATTTTGTTTTTCCCTTTTTCCACCCAAAAATGTCTCTCGAAAGCCCCAGGGAGGTAAGACATTCTTTGCCCTTTTGCTGGAAGAGACCATGTCATCCCCCTTCCTTTGGAAAGCGCCTGAACATGCAAATTATAGCGATTTCCCTTTTATAGATGGGGAAATGTGTTCGTGCCAAACAGGCCAAGTGAGTAACCAAGGGCTGCCCAGACAAAACAGTGGGGGGCAGAACCCAGGCGTCCTGACTCTCCACTAGCTCCTCGTGCCCCCAGCAGCCCAG